TGCCTGTATAGCTTCCTGGGAACAGGTGACTATATAAACCATGGGAACAGCGTCAGCTATCTGTATAGATAGATTCCGGGGAACAGATGACTATACAAATCATGGGAACAGTGCTAGATTGATATATAGATTCCATGGAACAGGTGGCTATATAAATCATGGGAACAGCGTCAGCTGCCTGTATAGATTCCGGGGAACAGGTGACTATATAAATCATGAGAACAGGGCAAGATGGCTGTATAGATTCCTGGGAACAGTTGACTATATCAAATCATGGGAACGGTGCTAGATTGCTGTATAGCTTCGTGGAAACAGGTGATAATATAAATCATGGGAACAGCGTCAGCTGCCTGTATAGATTTCTGGGAACAGTTGACTATATTAATCATGGGAACAGTGCTAGATTGCTGTATAGCTTCCTGGGAACAGGTGACTGTTTAAATCATGGGAACAGTGCTAGATTGCTGTATAGATTCCTGGGAACAGGTGACTATATAAATCATGGGAACAGTGCTAGATTGCTGTATAGATTCCCGAGAACAGGTGACTATTTAAATCATGGGAACAGTGCTAGATAACTTTATAGATTCCGGGGAACAGATGACAATAAAAATCATGGGAACAGTGCTAGATTGCTGTATAGCTTCCTGGGAACAGGTGACTATATAAGTCATGGGAACAGTGCTAGATTGCTGTATTGATTCCTGGGAACAGGTGACTATATAAATCATGGGAACAGTGCTAGATTGCTGTATTGATTCCTGGGAACAGGTGACTATATAAGTCATGGGAACAGTGCTAGATTGCTGTATAGATTCCTGGGAACAGGTGACTATATAAATCATGGGAACAGTGCTAGATTGCTGTATAGCTTCTTTGGAACAGGTGACTATTTAACTCATGGGAACAGTGCTAGATTCCTGTATAGATTCCTGAGAACAGGTGACTTTTTAAATCATGGGAACAGTGCTAGATAACTTTATAGATTCCGGGGAGCAGATGACAATAAAAATCATGGGAACAGTGCTAGATTGCTGTATAGATTCCTAGGAATAGGTGACTATATAAATCATAGGAACAATGCCAGAGTGCTGTATAGATTCCTGGAAAACAGTTGACTATATAAATCACGGGAACAGTGCTAGATTGCTGTATAGATTCCGTAGAACAGTTGACTACCTAAATTATGGTAACAGCGTAGGCTGCCTGTATAGCTTCCTGGGAACAGGTGACTATATAAGTCATGGGAACAGCGAAAGATGGATGTGTACATTCCTTGGAACAGGTGACTCTATAAATCATGGGAACAGTGCTAGATAACTTAAAAGATTCCTGAAAACAGATGACAAACAATCATGGGAACAGTACTAGATGGCTGTATAGATTCCTGGGAACAGGTGACTATATAAATCATGGGAGCAGCGTCAGCTGCCTGTATAGATTCCGGGAAACAGGTGACTATATAACTCATCGGAACAGCGCAAGATGGCTGTATAGATTCCTTGGAACAGTTGACTATATAAATCATGGGAACAGCGTAGGCTGTCTGTATAGATTCCTGGGACCAGTTGGCTATATAAATCATGGGAACAGCGTAGGCTGCCTGTATAGATTCCGTGGAACAGGTGACTAGATAACTTTATAGATTCCTGAAAACAGATGACAATAAAACGTATGGGAACAGTGCTAGATTGCTGTATAGCTTCCTGGGAACAGGTGACTATATAAGTCATGGGAACTGTGCTAGATTGCTGTATAGATTCCTTGGAACAAGTGACTATGTAAATCATGGGAACAGTGCTAGATTGCTGTATAGATTCCTTGGAACAGGTGACTATGTAAATCATCGGAACAGCGTCAGCTGCCTGAATAGATTCCAGGGAACAGGTGACTATATAAATCACGGGAACAGTGCTAGATAACTTTATAGATTCCTGAAAACAGGTGATATTATAAATCATGGGAACAGCGCTAGATTGCTGTATAGATTCTTGAATCAACTGCACACAGAGCATGGTTTTAGCTTGGTGGTTTTGATACGAATGTGACGGTAAAAGCGTCCTCCAGACACAGCAAGGAACAAAGAAGCCTCCTGCTCGTATGTATGAAACAAGTGTTCGCACGTATGAGACAAACAAGTCCACTTAAATTTTTAAAACACATAGCTAAATTGTATACAAGGGCGTTGGCTGGGTTGCGTTACGGTGGAGGGGAGGGGTAAGCGATGGGGGAGGGGGATTCTGAGAGGGGAGGGGAGGGGGAGGACGTGGGGGTGTTACACGGCACTACAGTTCACCATTGCCACCACGTGACGCTATTACCTAGTTCGTTACCTCACCAAAGTTCCCCCGAGGAAGCGTGTGCTGGCTAATTGTTGCCTGGATAGGACGCAGGCAGTTTAATTAATGTTATGAATTGCTGGAATGGTAGGAACCTCATGGTTGAGGAAAGTTCCCGCTGCCGTCTCAGGCTTATTAGCAGATAATGAAGTGGGCAAAAACCTTCCATATTACATATCAAACGAGTACATATAAAATACTATTCATTATTGCACGGCGTGCGTTGTACGTCGCAACAAATAACATTGTTAGATGTCTACCGCGCTACACTGATAATATGACCATTAAGTAATACTTGGGTATTATTTATAACAGTGTGCCTGTTGATAATCACGACAAAATTAATTACCATGACTAGAGGCTTATTTCCAAATATTTTTGTTGTCACGGTAGAGCGGTTATTCTGAGAGTATATTGCCGCTATGACACTATCGCATATTGTACACCACCTGTCTACTGTCAACGCAAGTCAATATTTACATTAATCACACATATATATTTAACGTCGCTTCAGTTTGTAGTTGAAATATTTATTGACCGTTCACAAAGACGCAGTTCAAATGTATTATCAAAGGGTGAAATTAGATTAATGTTTAATAACCGATCCGTAATTCCTTTAAGACTTAACATTGCATTAATTACAACGAGGGGAACTTGACGGCCGTGGTCACCAACCTCATTAATGTCATTAAACCAAATCAAATACTTTGGAATCTTAAAACTGGAATTGTGTGGGACCCACACTTTCATCCGGTTCAGACAGGTCCGGATAAGTGAGATTATCGCAAGATCTATGACCTTTGCTTTCACTTTATAGTCACCTGTTCCCGTGAATCTATAGTCATCTAGCGCTGTTCCATGTTTTATAAAGTCAAGAACACACATGATCCAAGACACATGTACAAATCTGTACTTATTACAAAATATAAAACGATTATCCGTTTAAGATCCAGTTCACAATATGTAAGACGTTACCCTATCCGTACAACCCAAATTAAAAATTTAGTATTCTTAATGAAGGTGATAACATATCCCATACACTTGAAAAAGTCGTTGTCAGAATTAACTTGATGATACCGTGGTTTATACACAATTTGGTCCGTGATTGACTCAAGTATATCTGTAGCTAACATCTCCAAGTACGAAAGCCGAAAACTTGACACAGTGTTAAACATTTACACGATCAATGGAAACTAGATCCTTCAGTTTATAAGAGATATAATTTGCAGTGATGCAGGTCCCGTATTTAAGGGCTAAGAAGGCCAAATGTTACAAGCAAGGGACACTCGAATCCCTCAAGGATCTTCGTGATGTTTAACAAACATAATTAAACATGGAGTTGATATTTTTGGAATTATTTATTGAATTAATAAATCTTCACATTTGTTTATATATCTCACGTAAGTAGGTTTGACAGAATACGCCTGGCGTTTTCGGTGAGAAACATAACAGCGCTTCAGTACAGAATAATCATTTTCGGGATCGTGACCGTGGTGTACTAATTCGTACTTGCAGATACTTCATGATGTATTATTGTGTGTTAATCAGGTACAGGATGACAGCGACATACAACACATCCACAATGGCATCAAACGCATTACCATCACTCCGTGATAGTGTTTATCACCTTGACATCTGCAAGTTGTCAACTAGACTCAGTTTCAAATCATTACTTTTTTGTCTACTGGGTTGATAAAGCATGACATTTATGCATGGTGAATACCCTTTATATGCCTGACCTACAAGCACGAGTCAAGTCAAGTCAAGTCAAAGACGTTTATTGTATCAAAGGCCATCGGCCCATATACAAGTTCAGATAAATACAGTGGGTGAGAATTTACAGATTGGGAGATACAACAAAAATTATAAAAATATAACATTCATTTAACAATCGGTGATAATCATGAGGACTTTCTAGGGTAAGGTAATTAAAATTCTGAATTTCCACTCAACATGTTATTTCGTAGTTCCATCCCATGTTTTACAAATAAAGACAGTTTAAACATTACGTCGGCAGCATTCGATGACAAAATAGAAACAAACGCTATTCTACTCATCTTAGATAAGAAACATTCTGGTATATATTTAGTACGTAGTTCTGCATAATAAGGACATTCAAAGGTAAAATGTATTTCGTCTTCTATAGCAGAGTTACAGAATGGAAAAATTCTTTGTATTCTTTCTTAAGTGATATATTCCGTCTACAAGCACGAGTCAGGATATCGACGGTCTTGTGGTCTTGAACCCTGTATCGCTGCAGCCATGTTACTGGCTACCGTGGCCAAAATACCAGGACAATCTTTAACAACGAGCACATCGAATACCCCGGCTCAGCAGGTGTATGAAGTCAACCCGTGCGTAAGTCAACGTGGCTCTGATTACTATATTATCTCAGTATCAGAATAGGGAGCCCTTTGAAAGTCATGAATATGTTGTACTTGGTTTAATCGTGATAATCTGATCATTATCTCACGATATACGTGGCCACAGAGTGAATGCAAGTCAACCGATCGCTTTGTGTCTGTGTGTTCGATGTTTTCCACAGTGCAGCCTAGGTCAAATATTAGTATTGTAATGATTTTTGCTGCTCTAATCAATAACGTATATTTTCGTAACTAGTTATATAAACGATTTTGTGACAAGTGGGGCTAGTGGTAATGTCTGAATGATATACGTGTAGATTCAACGTTATGATGCATATCAACGAGTTCCCGTGAGACTAGGGTTCGGTCGCGGGTCATATTTGTCAGTGCTCAGACACAGATGGGGTGATAAAACCTATCTTTCTCCGGCCCTGTGGTGACTTTCAGGTGAGGAGGTGGTCTTGGCTGCTCGGGTATTTACTGAACTCGTTAATGGACTACATAAGAACGCTTATTGAATGTTCTATCTCTGCGAGGGTGTCTCACATGAAGCTGTTCCTGTCCTCACATTTTCCTCAACCTGAGACACACGTGTGCCTTAACAATTATCCACGAGGGTATTCGGATATTATCGTACACAGGACCCAAAGCATCTCCTGCCTTTACACTCTGTGTGAAGTATGAAGAGGTCTCTGTGTAAAACATCCAGTGCTCCAGAACAGTTGCCAAGAATTTCCCTCGGACAAAAGACATCGGCCCAGAGGCGACCAGAGTCCAAATCCAGACATTATTCAGACTCGGATATACGCCCATGGTGCCCTCTGACAGAGGTTGACACCATGGCCCTACCGGCAGTGTTACACAACAGACCAGGGCGGGCAGACAGAAGGATTCCTTCTGAAACACATGGTAGTCTGTCTGCAAGGTCCTTGCCCTTCAGAAGAGGCTCGTCTATGTCCTTTACCCAAGGAATGGTGACAATACTTCACAACCGGGAGGATGTAGATGACGATGACTTCACGTCTACACCTTGCCATCTCCATGTTCGTGTTCCTGATGATGAAGAAGCTCCTGGAGAAGGTTCTGTACAGTTGAATAAACATGCACATGGTGATCGATGTAACCAAGAATCATATGTAGGCTCTGGGTTAAGGATGAACCATCGGGAGGATCGTTTTTCTCAAAGAGATGAAGGGGTGGAGTCCAGTCCATGCACTGTTCGGACAACGGGTGGTAGAGTCAGCAGAGTACACCATGGCGGAGTTGACTATCGAGACGGCCTTTTTCCTCGGCCAGGCCATGGACCGCTTCATGGTCTTACCTATCGTCCGAGACACATGACGATGAAGAGACACCCACCCAGAACACCGGCCGTGTCTCCAACTGGAGACCTCGGAGCTCATGCACACATTGGAGACCTCGGAGCTCATGCACCCATTGGAGACCTCGGATCTCATGCACACATTGGAGACCTCGGAGCTCATGCAAACATTGGAGGCCTCGGAGATCATGTGCACCTAGGAGACCTCGGAGACCTGGGGCACCTGAGACACCCAGGAGACATGACACCTACACGTTCGGGTAAGTTCGTAAGCGTAGTATTGCCAATTTTCGTATCAAACATAAAACATTTTCAAGGTTATTTAACAATAGTCACAAAATCCATATTATAAGTAGGTTACTTAGGCGTTACAATCAAACAAGATGATTATTCATGTCAGGAGGCAGAGAACATCATGACAATTGTACATTTAGAAGGCACAGAACATCATGACAATGGTACATTTAGAAGGCACAGACCACCATCATGACAATGGTACATTTAGAAGGCACAGAACATCATGTGACAATAGCACATTTAGGAGGCACAAAACATCATGACAATGGCACATTTAGAAGGCACAGAACATCATGACAATGGTACATTTAGAAGGCACAGGCCATCATGTGACAATAGCACATTTAGGAGGCACAAAACATCATGACAATGGCACATTTAGAAGGCACAGAACATCATGACAATGGCACATTTAGAAGGCACAGAACATCATGACAATGGCACATTTAGAAGGCACAGAACATCATGACAATGGCACATTTAGAAGGCACAGAACATCATGACAATGGCACATTTAGAAGGCACAGACCACCATCATGACAATGGTTCATTTAGAAGGCACAGACCATCATGTGACAATAGCACATTTAGGAGGCACAAAACATCATGACAATGGCACATTTAGAAGGCACTGAACATCATGACAATGGTACATTTAGAAGGCACAGGCCATCATGTGACAATAGCACATTTAGGAGGCACAAAACATCATGACAATGGCACATTTAGAAGGCACAGAACATCATGACAATGGTACATTTAGAAGGCACAGAACATCATGTGACAATAGCACATTTAGGAGGCACAAAACATCATGACAATGGTACATTAAGAACGCACAGAACATCATGACAGTGGTACATTTAGAAGGCACAGAACATCATGACAATGGCACATGTAGAAGGCACAGAACATCATGACAATGGCACATTTAGAAGGCACAGACCACCATCATGACAATTGCACATTTAGAAGGCACAGAACATCATGACAATGGCAAATTTAGAAGGCACAGACCACCATCATGACAATGGTACATTTAGAAGGCACAGACCACCATCATGACAATGGCACATTTAGAAGGCACAGAACATCATGACAATGGCACATTTAGAAGGCACTGAACATCATGACAATGGCACATTTAGAAGGCACAGAACATCATGACAATGGCACATTTAGAAGGCACAGAACATCATGACAATGGCAAATTTAGAAGGCACAGAACATCATGACAATGGTACATTTAGAAGGCACAGAACATCATGACAATGGCACATTTAGAAGGCACAGAACATCATGACAATGGCACATTTAGAAGGCACAGACCATCATGTGACAATAGCACATTTAGAAGGCACAGAACATCATGACAATGGCACATTTAGAAGGCACAGAACATCATGACAATAGCACATTTAGAAGGCACAGAACATCATGACAATGGCACATTTAGAAGGCACAGAACATCATGACAATGGCACATTTAGAAGGCACAGACCACCATCATGACAATGGCACATTTAGAAGGCACAGAACATCATGACAATGGCACATTTAGAAGGCACAGAACATCATGACAATGGCACATTTAGAAGGCACAGAACATCATGACAATGGCACATTTAGAAGGCACAGACCACCATCATGACAATGGCACATTTAGAAGGCACAGAACATCATGACAATGGCACATTTAGAAGGCACAGAACATCATGACAATGGCACATTTAGAAGGCACAGACTATAATGTGATAATGATATTTAAAGAAAGGCACAGAACTTAATGTGAAATAGTACAATGAGAAGGCACGGCCAGTAGATAAGTCGCTTGTCAGATTGTATGAGCCCTCCAACCGTCCCCGTCTCGAAAATGTTTCTCCCATAAGGTCAGTACCGGGAGTACTTGTACTGGTCCGGACTAATGCTAATGCCCACTGAGATAATATGCCTCAGATTAACATCTATACCCCACTCAGACACAATATACTGATTCCGACAGCAAATCTGACTGCAAATTAACACAATAGAGAGGTGACTAGTAACACCAACAAAGCCCTCTAATAAAACATCTGGGTCAGCAGAAAGTACTTCTGCAAAATGTCAGGACGCGCTCTAACAGTAAAGACTGTCCCCGTATCCCTCAGCATAGTAAACTTTAAGTGACACAAAACCGTTTGAAATAAAAGGCTCACATCAGCAGACTATGGTAGCTGGACACCACACACATATACTCATCCTCAGTGTGGGAACAGTTTTGTGACTGATTTGGGGCCTTGAAAAGATGACACTCTGAAATGAAATGGTTTGCGACAATATCTATATCTAACACAAGACAACACATCTGAGTCCTGTTTCAAACCAACTGGAGTTGAATAAACTATCCGATTTGCTAGGACTCGAACCTCTTTGAACCGACGTTTCTGACTTTTTACGACCTGAATTGCCCGACTAACCTGGCCTTCAAGTATCCTGATCATTCCTAGGAGAGTTATAGTACTGCCCGAAATTACACTCGTGTGTATCCGAGTAACATCTGCCAAAAATGCAGCCTTGTGTAACAGATCACCTTCTGTTCATCCAAATATGTCTAAATCTCAGTATGCACACACTGCTTTAAATCTTCAAAACAAGATCAGCTGCCTTAGCTTATGAAAATGTTGGCCAACATCTTTCAACAAACACCTTTCCCTTGCAAACTCCTCATAAGTATCATCATTCCGGGGGGCACGGGTGGCCCAGTCGTCTAAGGCGCCGCGATTCGCTGTGCAGAGTTGCGTCCCTTGGGCACGCCAGAAACCTATGAATGTGGGTTCGAATCCCGGTTCGCCCCGATTATGTTTCTAAGTTTGTCAGCACCATACCCGTGCTCGTGGGTTTCACCGAAGTGATAAACGTCCGAGACCTGCATCACTTCGGGCCTACCTCCCACATTAAGCTGACACGCCGCGATATAACTGGAATACTGTTAAAAGCGGCGTTAAACCCAACTCACTCATTCACTCATCATTCCGTTTTACCTATATGCCTCAGGCATAAACCTTCAATATGGCCATTTCCACTTCATCACAGTTTGAACTAACTGGTAGTACTGTATAAACTGCCAAACACTTTGCATTAACATTACCCAATGCTACTCTGGCCATTTCAAATTTGTTGAAACCTTCTTAAAGGTTGAAAAGGAGGGACCAATCTGACATTTGTTGTCATATCAAAGTATTTTTGATCATGTTGAGGGGTATTATTTCTATTTTGCAATTCAAATTCCCTTCATTTGAACTCTCTCTTTTAGTTCTCTCTGAACAGCTTTGGAGTTCCTTCTAGCAGCAACGCCAAAGCAGATTCACTTAAAAGTTCCTCCTCAACCATATATTCTAAAAGTTCACCTTTTTTATTGGTAATCAAGGCAAGAACTCTTAGCTGCAGCTAACAATTCCGGTTTGCGGACTGAACAAAAGTCTCAACCTTAGACTCCATGTTACATTCCTTAAAGCAATGAAGATAGATATAATACGGGAAGATAGATATAATTTAGTGCTGGCGAATGCTTTCGTAACAAATTTAGGATTCTCAGTAAATTTAATTCAGATACTGGATGAGGCCCCAATTTCTGAGTTAATTTCCAAGTTACGCGAAGGTTAACCCAGAAAACGGTTCGTACAGAACGTAATTGTGAAATCAGTTAATAGCCAGACAAGATCAATCAACACTCAACAAATTATATTGAAACAGGATTAGGTTTACAATCACAAAAAGGCAATACAATGGGTAAAAAATGTGGCAGCAACAATAATGAACAGGCCCGATTACATAAGTCTGTCCACTCACGAATGTCCAGAATTTGTTACAGTCGAATGTCTTAAATGAAGCACGTGCCCCGTTCTTGAATACAGTGTTGGAAGCAGGCAGAAAAATCAGTGTTTTCAGATAGGTATCCTATACGCATTGGGCAAGTAGAGGAGTTGCAGGTCCTATCGTAGAAGGCCTCGAATAGCCCTCGTTTCACTCATAAAAAAGGTACAGCCAGCCTTCTAGAAACTCTTACCTCAAGAATCTCTCGAATGGAGTGGTCAATCCCGGAAGTAAAATGACAACTGTAAACAAGCTTCCACAGTTGGGTTCTTTACACCGGGAGGTCACAGAATGTCACGTGACAATGGTACATTTAGAAGGCACAGAATATCACGTGACAATGGTACATTTAGAAGGCAGAGGATATCACATGACAATCGTAAACTTAGAAGACACAGATCATCACGTGACAATCGTACATTTAGAAGGCACAGACCATCATGACAATGGTACATTTAGAAGGCACAGAATATCACGTGACAATGGTACATTTAGAAGGCAGAGGATATCACATGACAATCGTACATTTAGAAGACACAGATCATCACGTGACAATCGTACATTTAGAAGGCACAGACCATCATGACAATGGTACATTTTGAAGGCAAAGAATATCACGTGACAATGGTACATGTAGAAGGTACAGATCATCACGTTGCAATTGTACATTTAGAAGCCACGGAATATCACGAGACAATGGTACATTTAGAAGGTACAGATCATCACGTGGCAATTGTACATTTAGAAGCCACAGAATATCACGTGACAATGGTACATTTAGAAGGTACAGATAATCACGTGGCGATGGTACATTTAGAAGACACAGAATATCGCGTGACAATGGTACATTTCGAAGGTACAGATCATCACGTGACAATGGTACATTTAGAAAGCCAGGAACATCATGTGACAATGATTCATTTAGGAGGCACAGAATATCACGTGACAAACGTACATTTAGAAGGCAGAGAATATCACACGATAATGGTACATTTGGAAGCCACAGGATATCACGTGACAATCGTACACTTAGGAGGTACAGATAATCACGTGGCTATGGTACATTTAGAAAACACAGAATATCGCGTGACAATCGTACATTTAGAAGGTACAGATCATCCCGTGGCAATGGTACATTTAGAAGCCACAGAATATCGCGTGACAGTGGTACATTTCGAAGGTACAGATCATCACGTGACAATGGTACATTTAGAAATCAAAGAACATCATGTGACAATGATACATTAAGGAGGCACAGAACATCATATGAGTGATACTTGATGATGGTACGTCAATATCACAGCTGGCAATGAGACTTTACACAGTCACACTGCGTTGTTAAATTTCTTTTAAATTGTCTAAAATGTATATAACCGGATATCTGAAACATAAAAAAATAAGAGGTGGATTTCTGTGTTATAGCGTACAACTGTACATCACAAAGTAGAACATAAAATAGTAACATTTATCATAATAAGCAGCTGAAAGGTTAGCATTTGAGCTCTACCTGGGTATACATGACATTTGTAGCTTATATTGTTAAGGTCGTGGTTTCAAATACACTTGTTAAGACTCGTTTAACTTCATGTTCCAGGTGTGGCACAATTCCTGGTCCCACAGTGTGGAGAACATAACACAAGCACCCGTTCCCCGGATAGTATACACGCCGTTCAAACTGAAGACGAGCAATGCACCGGAAATGACGACACAAAGACAAAGATCACGTGTTCCGGCCTCACACAGGAAGTGCTAACCTCTGGGTTGTATAGTAATTCGGCACGAAAGGAGGACCGGGTTTTTGATTGGTTGGCAGAATGTGATAGTGAACTTGTACCCGCATCGCTTCCAACCCACTTGCCTGAAATAAACAGACAAAAACGCTACAACCCTTCTATTGGATAAACAAAGTAACTCAATTATGAAACCTCTGTCCATAAAGATAATAAATTACGTTAGTTGTTTCAATTCTCAAACTCGGTATTCTTAAAAAAATCGATTGTACAGCAAACCTTTTACAAATTCTAAACCGTTACATTTACCAAAGAAACTGTGTGTTTTTTAGAGAAAATATGAAGATGAAAAAAATAACGTTTCTGTTTCTCATTTATATTTGTTCCATGTGTTTCCGTGTTTTTTCCCCATATGAACAATTGACTTGCCTTTGCATGTGTTTACGACGGAGGCCACGAACATCTGGTATCATAACTATTTGACAGCGATTCATAAATACGTGCTTATGATATAGTCGGAATCGTACAATGCACTCTGCTTTTTTGTCGCTTGTTTATTTATTTCCTTTGAGACTTACAATGCCATGTGTGATTGAAAAGAACTGTTTTTATGATATTCCTCCACTGCTGGAAGGATTGTATTGTTTGTTTGTTTGTTTGTTTGTTGTTTAACGCCGCACTCAACAATATTCCAGCTATGTGGCGGCAGTCTGTAAATAGTCGAGTCTGGACCAGACAATTCAGTGATTGACATCATAAGCATCGATCCACGCAAATGGGATCGATGACAGGCATCAACCAAATCAGCGAGCCTGACCACCCGATCCCGTTAGTCGCCTCTTACTACGGCAAGCATTGGTTGCTGAAGACCTATTCTATCCTGGATCTTCACGGGTCGGAAGGATTGTAATTGAATCGTATGAAGATGTTCTGTGGCAAGATGTATCGCTCGTTATGTTACTATTTTACGACCGCTTCACACCTGAATTATTTTTAACATATTTGATATGTGTTACGTATATAACACTACCAATAGGCACAGCTTGTTTAACACCACTCATACCATGCAGGCTGGTAGTGAACTAAGGAATGTTTACCAATGTTTGTTATAACAATAGGCTAGTTATATAACGCCTTACACCCCTTATAGTACAGATACCATCAATCAAAGGATTCTTTGTCAAGTTCACTGTTCTTGCTCAATAATGTCAAAAAATGTCTAAACGGAAATTTTGAATAACATTAAACTTGTTTCATATTTTCGAACTTTACACGCTCGGGTTTACTTATGTCTCATGCCTTTAGAAACGTTTTGATAAACAAAAGAATAAGTCAGTAGTAGCAAGAAAGATACTAGTCCCGTTAACAACGCTTCCCTAAGCTTAGTTGATTTATCAATTATAGCAGTTAATGATTACCCCTTGTGCAGATAGACAATGCATCTGTTTTACAAGGAAACTAATTTCTACGTCTCGACCTGATTGGAAATAAGTGCCTGACTTTGGTCTCTTGGTCGCAGAAAAAAAATCCCAGCGGCTGCTCTACCATCATGTCTCTCCGCGATCTCTATTAAGGAGACAGGAGTTCTCCCCCTTCGTATTTTACAGATTATTTAATTTTCTTTGCGGTTGAAGGTATCTATTAGTTTTTAAAGTCTTAAGTAATGTAAATCACGGCGAAGTGTTCGACTTTTTGGCTAGGGAAACGTTATTCGTTTAACTATGGGAGCCATGTAAACTGATGTTTGAATTGTTGGAAGGGGCTGTAAAATCTCATTGCAAATTGTTCAGAGATGTCGAGAAGCGTTATCGGTGTTTGTCATAATAAACTGTGTTTTTGTGGCTTTGTGTTATCTTGTGTCACGTACTGGTTCATCTAGAATGCGGACTAGTAAAATCTCTGTTTATATAGAGAGATCGTGGGCGCTTTACAGCGTCGCTTTACCAGTATAGCCGTGGTATCACGGTGTGTCAGCATAATGTTAAGGTAGGCAGAAAGTGGGTTTGTTTACGTTTTCTGCTGTGGTCAAATCCCCGATGACAGGTGCTGACGGATGAATGATTGTTATCGGTGGGAATCTATAAGCCAGTTGTCCGTATCCACCTTTAATGTATATAGTCATGGATCAGACTAGTTTCAAATTCCCAACGTGTACGACACTACAATAAAGACTTTTTGCCCGAAGCCTGTCTTCTTATGTCACAGTCAAAGCTACACCAGCTCTATTTCAACAGCAGGTAAATATTTGGAAGGCATGTATTGGTTCACAGCCCGTTATGTCATGATGTCACACAATAACAACTTACCACACACACACACACACACACACACACACACACACACACACACACACACACACACACACACACACACACACATACGTCGCTATAAGTGCAATAATCTAGGACGCGACGTTAAACCCCATTTCACCTCACCTAAACCATATTGCACCTCACCTCATAAGGTGTCACGACAAACATTATGTATCCCACATGGTAACCACCCAACCTTAGCGTTTCATGTTTTGCAGAGCATATCTATGTTATATAATATTCTAACAGTTGTTGACTGCGCTGTTATAGAATGATATGAAATACACAGCAATCCAAGCAGCTAAGTTATTCACCGCGTCATCATAACTGATACGTGTAAATATATTGTGTAATTTGATCTTTATCCTATTGATTTGGTTGACAAACTCCATTAAAACATAGCCGGGTCCCCACTCGTCGTCAACAGTAGTGTCCCACTCAGTAAATATTTAGATCCCCTGCGAAGGCAATCTTGGACGTTTATGGTTTCTGTGTTGAAAAGGATTACCAACAACTTCTTACAACTTTTTTTTTACAAAGCCCATTTCAAGTGTATATATTCCAACAATGCAAGGGCGAAAAATGTGACGATTATTCATGAGACATTTTACTATCGTAAAGCAACAACTATGGAGCTTATATATATACCGATGCGTTTTGTTTGATATGGGATATGTGTTGATTGGAAATAGCCCCGGCACCTGGCAGCACTCGCGCGAGGATACAATGCACTCACTTCACAGCCGTGCAGGAGTTATCTCCCGTGTATTTCACAAGCTGTGGTGTGATCCAACGATGTCTGTTAACTTCGAAACTCTCTGTGGTAATTGTTTATTACAGCTGGTTAAAGGGGTTTCATATGTGATACACTTGAACTGAAAAATACTAATAAAATAAATAAGGATCATGTCACAGTTATCTGTTCAGTGATGATATAGTAGATTTCTTAGTGTTTACTATTTTAAGGTTTCAAACGTAGATTGTAAACCTGTTAATGTTTGAATTTGAACGTGACTCGTCAGAAAATAATATGCTAAATGGGTTTGTTATTATTGCGTTAAAAAATTGGTATTTTTATATTATTTCGATATTATCGACATTTGAAATTATAATTCAGTATAAACTGCCGGGCCAAAAAATGTGTGATTTTGAAAATTGGATTTGACCAAAAATCTACACACGTTATCAAAACGTCAATAGGCTGAAAACACTTAAACAATCGCCAAAACACTTAAAACTGTGTCCAAAACACAACCAGTATCAAATACATCAGAATCGAATAGCGATTTCTTTTTTATTGCATTCTTAGCCAACAACAAACATGCATGGGGGTGTATACTTTCTTTACGTCAGCTGTTTGACCTGGTCACTGTTATCTTCATATACATGTAGGTAGCGGGTCAAATAAGTGATCTCATGAGGATCACACACAATTTGATGTCAGCGACACCGACGAAACGGCTCGTTGCTCATGAATTCAATCACTGGGTTGTCTGGTCCCTTGTGATAGTACCGTAGTATTAATCCACTTAGTGAACACGTCGGTCGGGGAGATCGGATTTTTCAGGACCGCCTCCCTGGTTTAGTGGTAGAGCGTCCGCCCGGAGAACGGAAGGTCGGGGGTTCGATCCCCGACGGCGTCATACCAAAAGACGTTTAAAGATGGTACTTGTTGTTACCCTGTCTGGCGCTCGGCATTAGGGGGCTAAAACAAGGACTGGTCGGCTTGGAGTCTGAATACTGTGTCTGAGTGGGGTATTCATGTTAATGGTATCTCAGTTAGCTAGCACTATAAATCGGCATCAGTCCGGACTAGTACGAGCAGCCACACAAACACACACACGTACATGCACGTCGCTATATAAGTGCAATAATCTTGGACGCGACGTTAAACCCCATTTCACCTCACCGCACCTCGGAGTTTTCAGTCAGGGTAGTGGGACGTGGTTTGTGCCGCTTTTAGTCACATCATTTCCGTGGATATCAAGAACATTATTAAGCACACTGCCTCGTGTCGTGAATGGAGCCCCCGTCTCATGAGGACGATCGTGTCCGCATTGTGAAGAAGAATATCAAACATGTTTTAATGTTTCTGGGTTATCATGACCCCAACATTAATGTCACGCTGACCAGACGTGTCGGTACTTAATCTCCGTGTGTATAGCGATATGAAACATTCGGTGAACAACAAACTATTTCCCCAAAGACAGGAAAGCAGCCTGTTTATTTCCTTACAAGGCGGCCTCCAGGCACTTCATGGGCTGTTTCTCAAGTAGCAGAGGTGAGGTAAGGTGAAACGGGGTTTAACGTCGCGTTCAGGCTTATTGCACTTATGTACATGCACGTGTGTGCGTGTGCGCGTGCGTGCTTGAGTGTGTGTTTTATGTGCGTGTGCGTGTGTGTGGTGCTGCTTGTACAAATCCATACTAATGCCGGTTTTATAGTGCTAGCCTACTGAGATACCATGCCGCAGTTTAACATAGATACCTCACTCAGACATAGCTTACTGACTCCGAGACCAGTCCTTGTTTTAGCCCCTTAATGCCGAACGCCGGTCAGGGTAAAAAGTATCCTCATTTGTCGTCTTTTGGTGTTCGAACCATCAAACTTCCGCTCTCCGGGCAGACACACCATCCACTATACCTGCTTCGGGCAGCAGAGGGTCGTTGAGGGATAGATGGTGAGTAGGTTTGATACCCTCCATGGAACCACACACCAGTAGGTGTAGATACCAGGTACTCCTACATGCTGATATCAACACAAATACATCACACTTACGGATGGGAGGTCGTGGAATGAGTTTTGTATGTCCTGGGACGCATTGGTATTCAAGAAATAAGTATAATATGTCCTGGGATGGATTGGTAGTCAAGAAATGAGTATAATATGTCCTAGGGTGGATTGGTAGTCAAGAAATGAGTATTGTATGTCCTTGGGTGGGTTGGTAGTCAAGAAAGGAGCATTGTACGTCCTAGGGTGGATTGGTAGTCAAGAAATGAGTATAATATGTCCTGGGATGGATTGGTAGTCAAGAAATGAGAATAATATGTCCTGGGGTGGATTGGTAGTCAAGAAATGAGTATAATATGTCCTGGGGTGGATTGGTAGTCAAGAAATGAGTATAATATGTCCTGGGGTGGATTGGTAGTCAAGAAATGAGTATAATATGTCCTCGGGTGGATTGGTAGTCAAGAAAGGAGTGTTGTATGCCATGGGGTGGATTGGTAGTCAAGAAATGAGTATAATATGTCCTGGGGTGGATTGGTAGTCAAGAAATGAGTATTGTATGTCCTGGGGTGGGTTGGTAGTCCAGAAAAGAGCATTTTACGTACTAGGGTGGATTGGTAGTCAAGAAATGAGTATTGTATGTCCTGGGGTGGATTGGTAGTTACGAAATGAGTATTGTATGTCCTGGGGTGGATTGGTAGTCAAGAAATGAGTATAATATGTCCTGGGGTGGATCGGTAGTCAAGTAATGAGTATTGTATGTCCTGGGGTTGGTATTCAAGAAATGAGTATTGTATGTCCTGGGGTGGATTGGTAGTCAAGACATGAGTATAATATGTCCTGGGGTGGATCGGTAGTCAAGTAATGAATATTGTATGTCCTGGGGTTGGTAGTCAAGAAATGAGTATTGTATGTCCTGGGGTGGATTGGTAGTTACGAAATGAGTATAATATGTCCTGGGGTGGATTGGTAGTCAAGACATGAGTATAATATGTCCTGGGGTGGGTTGGTAGTCAAGAAATGAGTATTGTATGTCCTAGGGTGGATTGGTAGTCCAGAAATGAGTATTGTATGTCCATGGGTTGGTTGGTAGTCAAGAAATGAGCATTGTACGTCCTAGGATGGATTGGTAGTTACGAAATGAGTATTGTATGTCCTGGGGTTGGTATTCAAGAAATTAGTATAATATGTCCTGGGGTGGATTGGTAGTCAAGAAATGAGTATTGTATGTCCTGGGGTGGGTTGGTAGTCAAGAAAGGAGAATTGTATGTCCTAGGGTTGATTGGTAGTCCAGAAATGAGTATTGTATGTCCATGGGTTGGTTGGGAGTTACGAAATGAGTATTGTACGTCCTGGGTTAGTTTGGTAGTTAAGTAATGAGTATAATATGTCCAGGGTTGGGTTGGTAGTCAAGAAAGGATCATTGTATCTCCTGGGGTGGATTGGTAGTCCAGAAATGAGTATTGTATGTCCTGGGGTGGATTGGTAGTCAAGAAAGGAGCATTGTACGTCCTAGGGTGGATTGGTAGTCAAGAAATGAGTATTGTATGTCCTAGGGTGGGTTGGTAGTTACGAAATGAGTATTGTATGTCCTGGGGATGGTTGGTAGTCACGAAAGGAGTAATGTATGTCCTGGGTTGGGTTGGTAGTTAAACGGTGAGTATTGTATGTCCTGGGGTGGATTGGTAGTTAAGAAATGAGTATTGTATGTCCTAGGGTGGGTTGGTAGTTACGAAATGAGTATTGTATGTCCTGGGGATGGTTGGTAGTCACGAAAGGAGTATTGTATGTCCTGGGGTGGATTGGTAGTTACGAAATGAGTATTGTATGTCCTGGGGTTGGTATTCAAGAAATGAGTATTGTATGTCCTGGGGATGGTTGGTAGTCACGAAAGGAGTAATGTATGTCCTGGGTTGGGTTGGTAGTTAAACGGTGAGTATTGTATGTCCTGGGGTGGATTGGTAGTTAAGAAATGAGTATTGTATGTCCTGGGGTGGATTGGTAGTCCAGAAATGAGTATTGTATGTCCTGGGGTGGATTGGTAGTTAAGAAATGAGTATTGTATGTCCTAGGGTGGATTGGTAGTTAAGAAATGAACATTGTATGTCCATGGGTGGGTTGGTAGTTACGAAATGAGTATTGTATGTTCTGGGGTTGGTTGGTAGTCAAGAAAGGAGTATTGTATGTCTTGGGGTGGATTGGTAGTCAAGAAAGGAGTATAATATGTCCTAGGGTGGATTGGTAGTCAAGAAATGAGTATTGTATGTCCTTGGGTGGGTTGGTAGTCAAGAAAGGAGCATTGTACGTCCTAGGGTGGATTGGTAGTCAAGAAATGAGTATAATATGTCCTGGGGTGGATTCGTAGTCAAGAAATGAGTATAATATGTCCTGGGATGGATTGGTAGTCAAGAAATGAGAATAATATGTCCTGGGGTGGATTGGTAGTCAAGAAATGAGTATAATATGTCCTGGGGTGGATTGGTAGTCAAGAAATGAGTATAATATGTCCTGGGGTGGATTGGTAGTCAAGAAATGAGTATAATATGTCCTGGGGTGGATTGGTAGTCAAGAAAGGAGTGTTGTATGCCATGGGGTGGATTGGTAGTCAAGAAATGAGTATAATATGTCCTGGGGTGGATTGGTAGTCAAGAAATGAGTATTGTATGTCCTGGGGTGGGTTGGTAGTCCAGAAAAGAGCATTTTACGTACTAGGGTGGATTGGTAGTCAAGAAATGAGTATTGTATGTCCTGGGGTGGATTGGTAGTTACGAAATGAGTATTGTATGTCCTGGGGTGGATTGGTAGTCAAGAAATGAGTATAATATGTCCTGGGGTGGATCGGTAGTCAAGTAATGAGTATTGTATGTCCTGGGGTTGGTATTCAAGAAATGAGTATTGTATGTCCTGGGGTGGATTGGTAGTCAAGACATGAGTATAATATGTCCTGGGGTGGATCGGTAGTCAAGTAATGAATATTGTATGTCCTGGGGTTGGTAGTCAAGAAATGAGTATTGTATGTCCTGGGGTGGATTGGTAGTTACGAAATGAGTATAATATGTCCTGGGGTGGATTGGTAGTCAAGACATGAGTATAATATGTCCTGGGGTGGGTTGGTAGTCAAGAAATGAGTATTGTATGTCCTAGGGTGGATTGGTAGTCCAGAAATGAGTATTGTATGTCCATGGGTTGGTTGGTAGTCAAGAAATGAGCATTGTACGTCCTAGGATGGATTGGTAGTTACGAAATGAGTATTGTATGTCCTGGGGTTGGTATTCAAGAAATTAGTATAATATGTCCTGGGGTGGATTGGTAGTCAAGAAATGAGTATTGTATGTCCTGGGGTGGGTTGGTAGTCAAGAAAGGAGAATTGTATGTCCAAGGGTTGATTGGTAGTCCAGAAATGAGTATTGTATGTCCATGGGTTGGTTGGGAGTTACGAAATGAGTATTGTACGTCCTGGGTTAGTTTGGTAGTTAAGTAATGAGTATAATATGTCCAGGGTTGGGTTGGTAGTCAAGAAAGGATCATTGTATCTCCTGGGGTGGATTGGTAGTCCAGAAATGAGTATTGTATGTCCTGGGGTGGATTGGTAGTCAAGAAAGGAGCATTGTACGTCCTAGGGTGGATTGGTAGTCAAGAAATGAGTATTGTATGTCCTAGGGTGGGTTGGTAGTTACGAAATGAGTATTGTATGTCCTGGGGATGGTTGGTAGTCACGAAAGGAGTAATGTATGTCCTGGGTTGGGTTGGTAGTTAAACGGTGAGTATTGTATGTCCTGGGGTGGATTGGTAGTTAAGAAATGAGTATTGTATGTCCTAGGGTGGGTTGGTAGTTACGAAATGAGTATTGTATGTCCTGGGGATGGTTGGTAGTCACGAAAGGAGTATTGTATGTCCTGGGGTGGATTGGTAGTTAAGAAAGGAGTATTGTATGTCCTGGGGTTGGTATTCAAGAAATGAGTATTGTATGTCCTGGGGTGGATTGGTAGTTACGAAATGAGTATTGTATGTCCTGGGGTTGGTATTCAAGAAATGAGTATTGTATGTCCTGGGGATGGTTGGTAGTCACGAAAGGAGTAATGTATGTCCTGGGTTGGGTTGGTAGTTAAACGGTGAGTATTGTATGTCCTGGGGTGGATTGGTAGTTAAGAAATGAGTATTGTATGTCCTGGGGTGGATTGGTAGTCCAGAAATGAGTATTGTATGTCCTGGGGTGGATTGGTAGTTAAGAAATGAGTATTGTATGTCCTAGGGTGGATTGGTAGTTAAGAAATGAACATTGTATGTCCATGGGTGGGTTGGTAGTTACGAAATGAGTATTGTATGTTCTGGGGTTGGTTGGTAGTCAAGAAAGGAGTATTGTATGTCTTGGGGTGGATTGGTAGTCAAGAAAGGAGTATTGTATCTCCTGGGGTGGATTGGTAGTCAAAAAAGGAGCATTGTATGTCTTGGGGTGGGTTGGTAGTTAAAAAATGAGTATTGTATGTCCTGGGGTGGATTGGTAGTTAAGAAATGAGAATTGTATGTCCTGGGGTGGGTTGGTAGTTACAAAATGAGTATTGCATGTCTTGGAATGGATTGGTAGTCAAGAAAGGAGTATTGCATGTGTGTGTGTGTGTGTGTGTGGGGGGGGGGGGGGGGGGGGGGGGGGGGTTCGGGAGTCAAGAAATGAGTATTGTATGTCTTGGGGTGGATAAGTTGTCAATTAATTAGTTGTGTCCGTCCCGGGACAGATTGGTACACAGGAAATGACTATCGTATATCCCGGGACGGATTGGTGTGTATTGAGATGACTTGTCAGTGCAGTGAATATAGATGCAATTTGTCCCGAGTTGGATGAGTCATCATTTGAATGAACATTCATTTTTCGAGATGTATCTAGAATCCATCTGGTTGTCGCAGAATTGAATTGAAAGCCACGAGTTGACGTCGGTCTGGTTTGATATATTGCACACGTCTCTCAGATAATGCAGTAAGAAGGATTTATTTGAATATTTGCCTTTTTATCGTTTCAATCAAAAACACATATTCAAAATCTTCAGACACATTTACATCTCAAACAAGAAAGATAGGAAGTCCATTTAACATCATCGTAAATTCATGATGCCTAACCGAAATATTTGTAAAGCAGCTACTAATTCCATGATAGATGCATAAACATTCAAAATAGCCGTAATAATTTGTACTCGCCGGACGGTTACTCTGTGGTTCCAGGAACCTGCACTGTCACGTCGGGCCACTGTCGGGGAAGTCGACACATGGTACCATCTGGTTAAGTCGTACGTCCCCCACACCAAGGTTAAACTTTCCGCAGGGTACATTGTGACAAAACCCATGACATGAATATTGCAGAAAAACGGCTGAAGGCTAACATACTCACTCACTGATTTTAAAGGAATCGAAGGGCCGCTATCGTTCTTGGATTGGTCGTTTGTGGTTTCCAATCTCAGTCTCGCCTGTTTATGACGATTGGTTGGTCGTTGATTATATTATGGTGAAAAACGTCGACAATCTGCGTCACTTTACGTCGGCTTTCATTATTACACGCCATTATATTGGACATAATGTTCAAAGCGGCGTAAAACCCAGCTCACTCACTCACACATTCGTCCACTTCATGTTGAAAGGATCCCAATTATGGACGCGCCTTGACACGGATCGTGCTCGTGATGAAACAAAGATAGTTACAACTTATAGCTGCGTGTCGTCACTTCCGCTCCTGAAGGAAGTGGTTGAACTGCGTGTTCCTTCTTCAGTTTTGGAGATCAACCAATTAATTCCCTTGATAAATGGTAAATGAACACATCATATATGAGGCACACGGTTGTGAGTATTCAACCAGTATTAATACTTTGTACGGTAGTAGTTCACTCATAGGATACATAAATCATTTCTATACATGCATCTAATATCAAGCGATGCAGCAAAACCTTTTGCTTGTTTTTTCACGCCACACTCAGCAATATTCCAGCTATATGACGGCTGTCAGTAAATAATCAAGTCTGGACCAGTCAATCCAGTGATTGATATCATGAGCATCGACCTACGCAATTGGGATACGATGATATACATCGAACAAATCAGCTTCCTGATCACCCGATCAGTCGCGTCTTACAACAAGCAGGGTTGCTGAAGACCTATTCTGATCCGGATGTGGAGCCAATCACTCCGATGTTATATTTCACATGCATGATAGCAATGTTGGTTGATTCCAGGAACTATAACCTCATTCAACCATGTCATGGTTGCTTCAGTTCAACACAGTCACGAGAGGGGGTAACGTAAACCATGGTCAGGCCCTTCCAAGACATTAAGACAGAAGGTCATTACCGTTCCCAATCCAGTATATCCAGTCAGGTATTGTCTAGAGGATTAAGAAAAAGTCTTTTACGGAGCTTCTATCCCATCATCAACACGCCAACACTTCCCTTGAATCCACTTAGTACTACTGTGAGGTTATGACGATGCGTTTGGCCGAAAATAGGCTCTACATTAACCAGTTTAAATCAGGAAGTAAAGCGAAATTCCCATACTTGCGTCCGATTGTTTGAATCGTGGGAGTATGTATACATCTGTGTCTCTTGAGTTGTACGTGCACGACATCCGCTTGCTGTAGAGATAATAAAAGGTCCCACACGCACAACATCCTCAACCACACACTGACAGGAAGTACTCAAAGTCGTTCAGCGCATCCCCGTCATGTAACCAGTCCCAAATGTCCTGGTTCTTCTCGTCCGACAAGAACTGTGACTTGAAGGCACCGGGGATGACAATCCGTGGAGGTTTAGCCGTCCGCAACTCCTCATAGGAGTTGAAGTGTTGTTTCCCGTAGGGCGAATTTTGACACTTCAATGCCAGATTTGACATGCTTTGGATGCCTTCCATCACCATGGTGTCGTCAAGGACGAGCGTTTTTCTCCTGTCTGGAACAGTCGTATCTTGCAGGTGGTCCTCGTGCAGAGCATTTTCAGATTCGTCATATTCACCGTCATCCTCTTGCACACACTTGATGATTTGCTCTACTTCCTTTCTGATTTTAATGGCTTCCGGTGGAATCCGTGCCTTAATAGGCAGGTATAGGTTTGACCTGTTTCTTAACTTACCAGGGTCGATACCCATCCTTCTACTTGCAGTAGCACTGGAGGGAGCAGACCGAGTATACAACTTCCGGACCTGCTCAGAATTAGCATTAAGTTCAACCGGAAGTGATCGTAAGTGATCTTGTGTCCATTTAGTGTCAGCTGTATTTGATGTGAAGTGAACCTTGGCACTAAGTTTAACTCTGCCGTCATCATATTTTAGATCATCACTTGCATATGGCTCCTGAAACATGGCTCTCAGGTCCGTCCTGAAATGACTGTTGATGGAGTTTTTACCCTTGTCTACCGGAAGTAGATATGTAATGCCGTTGCTGACTCGCCTTCTCGTAATGGCATCCTTCATATTGGGGATGGGCGGCAGGTCAGGCCACTCATACTCCAGAAGTTCTATCTCATACTCTCCCGGTCGGGCCTCTTCCCTCCCAACCGCCTGACGGGCACTCAACCTCCCCGCAGAGCTCTGGGTGGTGCGGGGTCGCGAAGAGGACAAACGTCGACTCGCAGACGTTGGCATTATAATGATTTGCAAAATCAAATGTTCAGATACTTCTTTCCTTTTCGTCCTAGCAAGACATGCCTCTTCGGAAGCCTGTCAACATTAATCCTCCTTCTTGTCAAGCGTTTGCCTGAGGATGTTTGTACAAAGCACTTGGTGACCGGTAAACAAGGATTATCACATGGACCCACACCCACAATACAGTCTTCGTGTTTAGTTTACTGGCGTGTCTTGAGCTAATGTGTAATGGCTTGAATAATCCCTGACATAAATCCGGTGACTAGTGACGAATACATGTTTCCCTCACACTCCAGTGAATACAGAAATACCGCCTCAAATAGGTTCCACTTCCTTGTTGGTCAACTGGTCAGTAAGCATTTCACACACACTCTCATGCAATTTCCAGTCCTCTTCTGTGTCCAGACATACCGATATATATGAACCTTTCCTATGGACTTGTCAGTTAGTTATCTCTGTTGTTTTCAATGTTGTAGGGGTTACAGGAGCATAGGTATACATGTAGAAAGTGTACACTTGGCATCAGCGTCAGTAACTGGTGTAGCTCCTCTGGTTCCAAGCCTATAACTGCAAGACGACACAACATTGCAAGGTGGCGGATAAATATAACCTGATATAATGTTACCAGGACCTTGTTCCATTGAATACAACGTTAGCATCAGTGACACGTGTCCTTGTCAAAGTTGTAAACACCTATTGCCAGAAACGTCATTTCCTCTGAAGTATTGTCCCTCAACAATGCACCGCACATTATAGGGCAGGATCCCACACCCTTCACTGATGCTATCTCGCACGTGTTACACTCTGCTTGGGAGAGAGATGGCCCATCTGCCCCGGAACACGTACACCCCTCGTGTGTCCAATACGTTGTATGACTGCCCCTCTAGGCAACAGGGTCGGAGCAAATCTAATCTGGCGAGTTCATTAATCTCCATACAATGTGGTTCCTGCGCCTGCGATAGAGGTGTGGTAGCTGGCCGATCTGCTCGCCTCCCGCACACGCCATATTAATGGTGGGGAATTAATGCCGCAGATTAAGACCTCCATGTTACGATTCCGTGCCTCTTAGTTGTATTTCTCGCCAGCTGAACAATACGTTCTGTAGTGTATCGACATATAAGTACTCCCGTGGTCGTGTAACTTAGTCAAGCTGACGAGAATATCTGATCGTGCATTGTGTTAAATCGTCCATGGCATCAGCCATATTGTGTCCCTATCTAGCCTCGGTTTGGCGGACTGGCTATCGACTTGAATATAAGACCCAGGGCTTACAGCTTATCTCAGATTATCGGCGGTACTTATATGTAATATGTAGCAACATAGAGATCGGTGATATAAAATACCTACAACTGTGATGTGTTTGTGAACTATTGTAAATAACAGCAACAGATTGAACGGGTTGTACCAGAGTCGGAGGGACAATCTAATCTGAAGTGTTGTATGCACTCGCATATTATACACATGTATATCAACATGGATCTGTGTACTATCTATAAGCATTGGAGCGACGCCTTCACAGATCGATGTCTACTGGGCAATGTTTCAAGATATCCATTATATGTTCTTTTAGAATATTAAAACATCCGATAGTGTATGGAGCTTATCTTAAACAACACCACATACGGACTAAGATCTCTCGTTCATGTTGACATTTAATAGGCACAGATTCGAGACACGATCCTGCATTACTACATGTATAATGAGATTACGTGATGTGTCAAAAGCTTCATTTTTACTCCCGTATGTATTATGTCTGAAATATTTATCTAATTAAAGAATGAACACAATTTAAATGATATGTACATGTATATGATTTCGGTGAACTATTATTTGTTTGTTTGTTTGTTGTTTAACGCCGCACTCGGCAATATCCCAGCTATATGACGGCGGTCTGTAAATAATCAAGTCTGGACAAGACAATCCAGTGATTGACACCATGAACATCGATCCAATCGGGGTACGATGACATGCATCAACCAAGTTAGCGAGCCTGACCACCCGATCCTGTTAGTCGCCTCTTACGACAAGCATAGTTGCCTTTGTTGTTTGCCAGTAATTGTGGCTGTGTTGCAATGTTTTGTGTTGAGATTCGGTAGACGCTCGTTGCATTTTGTTTGGACAGTGATCAGTCGTCAGGATGTTACTATATTTGTGCGGTGAGTAAACTTCCGGTCCGGTATACCACCACGGTGATAGTATGTGATGGAAACATGGAGAATGTTTTATGTTGTGATTGCACTATGTGCAACTTTCCAGTAGCTGGTTAGACTGTAAGGGAACAAGAGCGTGTTTACGTATCTCTCACGCATTTTTCACATCGGAACCAGCATTCAGGTGAGGATCACTCATCATCCCTGATTCCCTGCCCAGCCCATCTCGGAAGTTTAACCACTGTCGCCTCTGGGTGAATATATATTATTATCACCACTATCTGGTACTGACCACTGCCATGACTTGCAAACTAAGTTAATTCTGTATTACATTTGTTGATTGTATACCACTTGTTGTTTTGTTCACTGGTTTCACACTAAGTTCTTTTACGTACAGATTTCTGGGTTAACATATTGGTTCAATTTGGGAATCGACACGTAACACTATACGGCTGATCAATGTTACTACCTCTTACCGTCTCCCAGGGAGCGCTGTCCGTGGGCCCCAGTGTCGGGATGTAATGGGGCGTAACAACTCCGCCCTGGGGTGCTACTGGGTGGATCAGGGGGACAATGTGCATGATTGGTATCCATTTACAACCTCAATGGTAAATCCACACAAGGGAATATCACTTGATCTTTCTGTACAAATCGCCGCCATGCGTTTACTCGTTATAGTTAAGCAGTTTCAATGGAAGCACTTGGCTGTGTATTCTCGAGATGTATCTCGTTACAGTGCTCCGGGATCAATCAGCTTTTCTCTCAAAGCGGGATTGAACGAAATCATCCAAACTAAAATCTCCGTGCGGCGCAGTCATATCGAATTCTAAAATGATTCCATTTGAAATGTATATTCATTGTTTAAAAATAGACTTTAATATTGAAACAGCGACATTAAAAAAGTATATCATCATTTGTCAACCTTAAACGGGTGTTGGGGTAACGTAGTGGTTCGCGTTCGCTCTTCACGCAGAAGCCCCGAGTTGGATTCTCCACTAGGGCACGATGTGTCACCCCATTTCTGGTATCCCCTCATTGATATTGCTGCAATATTACAAAGGGCGGCGTAAAATCTAATTCTTTCACTCACTCACCCACTTATAAGTTTACATGTTATGAACCACGTACGTCCTATCAGTTGCAAAAGTTGCACGCATGCTGCAATGTGTGCAACACAATATATCCAGTAGGAGTCGTACCAGCATTGTTCCGTTATAAGCGGAATGAAAGTGTTAGAAAAAGTGTAATAATTAGACAATACAACATGAAGAATGCTTCACTGTATGACGCCGTGTTTATGTTCAGTTAAACCCTGTAACGGTTTAATTAATTTCATCCGGATTAACAGATGTTGAGATTAACGAATAATTTGTGGGGATATAACCGAAAAGGTTATAAATCATGTTAGGATTAGGGTAATCATCATCGCCGAATTAAGGATTATTATAAAATTTGTAAGCAGATCATGACAAGGAAAGACGTGTCCCGAGCGTTGTCACTATAACCAGGACGTTGAAACAACATACCGTGACCGATACTCCATTCCGTGCTGTGTCATCTCCACTTATTATGAACGCCGTGATATGACTGGAATACTGTTAAAAGCGGCGTTAAACCCAACTCACTCACTCACTCACTCACTCCACTTATTATGATGATAAATGCCATGTGTGCGAGAGAAATATCAGAATTTATGGATACGGGAATCTTCCCAAATCGACCTACATGTACCTAACACATTATACAGGCTATTTATCAAAATTGAATGAAAGTGTAATTAGAAAGATTTACCCAATGAGCTGTGGTAGTAGGTCCAGGGTGTTCACCAGCTCGTTGACTTGGTTGATGGATGCGTGGATCGATGCTCATGATGTCAATCACTGGATTCTCCAGTCCAGATTCAATTATTTACAGACTGTCGTCATAAAACTGGAGTACTGCTGAGTGCGGCTTTCAATAACAAACAAACAAACAAACAAACATCATAATAGAATGGAGATATCATACCCTGGATAATCGAGGATGTCGCGTTACGTCATCGTACATAGTGGGCAGGGAAGTAACTTCGGTTGAGCAACTGTTGAAATCTATTCATTTACGTCATGGAAACATTCATCGTATCTCATTTACTCAGATGGCTGTCGAACTTATAGATGCTGGGAAAAATGATGTGTGATGTCATTAAACATTATCTAGATAGGATGATTAGTTTGTTTATTGTTTTTCGCAGCAATGTCACAGCACGTACACAGGGTCGGACAACTCCACCTCATGAGGTCAATCGGGACCACTCGGCTTATTCCGCTTACTATATTCTTCAATACGAGCCGATTGCCAATAAGGTATTTGGCGGCTCTGATGTCATCTTCGTTTGCTGTTTAGGTGTGATTGTCATTTATTGTTTTGACATTTTTTATTGAAAAAGGGTTTGTTTCTTTGTTTGTTTTCTGTTTAACGCCGCTGTATGACGGCGGTCTGGAATGATCAAGTTTGGACCAGACAACCCAGAAATTGACATCATGAGCATCGATCTACGCAATTCGGATACGATGACATGTATTGACCAAGTCAGCGAGCATGACCACCCAATCCCGTTAGTTGCCTCTTACAAGTTGCTGAAGACCAATTGTAACGCGGATCTTCTTTGGGTTTGTGTTTATGCCTAAAGTTGTTGGCCGGTTGTGATTACGGTGCCCCAGTAGATCTCTTGGGATGTAGCTGTAGGCTGACATCATGCGAAATGTCATAATAACTAAAGGTTCAACATCTTTTCTGCACTCTGATAGCTGATAGTTTTGGTCAGAAAATATTTCTGGACCAAAAAGGTATCCTACGTAAGAATAGTTCAGAGACAGCTAAATCGAGGATCGGATGTCCACCAAGTATGACAATTACTTCATTGAGGGAACCGTTACAGAACCAGAATATAGGCTGTTATGATTCATTTAACGTTATAGTTTCCAGTGTCGCTGTGGAAGAAAACTCATGAATTATGCATAATTCAAAACATGCCATGTGAACGTTTTCTTCTTTCAATGTAAGCAATGTCTTTTCGTTTTGTTCGACAAAAGATCCGTTTATAATAGGTTAGGTCAATGTGGGTCAATAAGTTAGGTCAAGAAAGTCCGGACTTTTACCAAATAGTTATATTTATTAAACTTTTGCCGCCATGATCGCATATTATTTTGTTGAACTTATTGCTTCATGAAAACATAAAGGAAAACAAAGATTTGGTGACATTTGCCAATTTGTGAAAAAGGTTCTGATGTGTAAAATCACGGATGGCTTGGGTGACAGGAGTGACCTTGTCGTCTGAGGTGCCACTATTTGCTGTGCAGAGTTGCCTCCCTTGGGCACGCCAGAAACTTACAATTGTGGGTTCGAATCCCGGTTCGTTCCGATTATGTTTTTAGGTTTGTCAGCGGCATACTCGTACTCGTGGGTTTCAGCAGAGTGGTAAGCGTTTAAAACCTGCATCATTTCGGGCTTTCCTCCGAATTCAAGCTGACACGCCGTGATGCTGTAAAAAGGCGTTAAATCCAACTCACTCACTCACTCATTCACTGGCACCAAACATGACTGACATCGTGAAGGCGCACGAAGCAAACATCTCCTCTCACATGTCATACACATATCACACCCTCTTACGTGTTATCAAGCCCGCCTCCTTGGCCTAGTGGTAGAGAGTCCGCCCGGAGAGCGGAAGACCCGGGTACGTCATACCAAAAGACGTTGAAAGATGGTACTTGTTACCCTGTCTGGCAAAAGGTCTTAGCAAAAGGTGGTAATTCGCACGAGGTGCGCCAACATGGCGACGCAGGGATAGCGTGCAAGGAGAGGGGTCATATATGTAGATCAATGCACAAAACTGGATGTCATGGCGAGAACATCACACCAAACTGTTGAAGATTGTAGTGACAGCGGCGCGACACACTGGACATAGCTGTGTTGTCCTATACGGGTGTGTCTCCTGGCTGTTTGACGTTAAGTACAAATGTTAAGTGCGTGCGGTCTTATGGACGGTAAGCCGGTAAACACTGTCTGCATTTTGCTG